AGTTGTTCTATCGCGCGATAAGTTTATCTATCGCGCGATAATGTTGATTGCAAATTTTTTGAATAAATGGACTTAGCAAAACTTATCGCACGATAAAGTCATGAAAATTTTTGTAGGTGGATGGCCCTTGAGAGCCACCGTACTGGAGCCAAAATATGGAAATTTAGACCCACGGATGCGTTTTAGAGCGTTAGGCGATTTGTGACTCCAGATGAACTTGGCACAAAGCAAATACCCGCGTGTATTTCCGAGCATGGATATTAGCAGAGTTCGCTGTGTGCACGAAGCACGCGTGCAGCCATGCCCCACACTTATCAAATATGGTAGTAACCCATCAAGGAGAGGAAACCTGGTCTGTCACGTGACGATTTGTCCACAAAAGTTCTCATATTAAATTTCACGAACAACTGTATAAGGGGTTTAAATCTATGCATCCCGTGAGTAGAAGGGAAGGGGAGAAGGTACTACGCATGCGCAATCGATTGCTGGAAAGAGTTGGTGAGCAGAAACAAAACAAATATAGGGCGAGTCTGTAATAACGCGAAAGAAAGCGAGAAAGGGTGTTACAAAAAAGGCAGAAACATGGCGAAGAGGAAGCAGAAGAGAGCCGCACGAAAGGGATTCAGCGCAGTTACTGTAAATTATATGGAATGATGTGTGAGTAACTTTTGATGTTGTCATAGGCAACATGACGGGTCTAAATGAGATACTTTGGATATATCAACAAAGTTGAAATGGTAAATTGGCCACCGTAACAATTACGAAAGCTGACTTTTCGAGCGATAGCCCTTCGTCGAAGCGAAAAAGAGTGAATTGAAACTGAAAAAAGAGTGAATTGGACTATAGCGGAGGTGACTTGGGAAACTTGAGCAACTGTTAAATTCATATTGGGTTTGATATGATGGTTGCCGTTTGCTAAGATGATTGAATGTTATTCCATTTGCACGAATGTACCTTTTCTTAGACAGTCTCATTCCACAAGATAGCTGAAAAATGTATTTGTGTTTGGCAGAAGTACTGTAAGTGCAGTGACACCCGGAGACAAACAAATTTTTTCCTTTAAATATGAATGTATGGGAGGTGTAATAGCATCAATTAACTATGTTTCTGCTAGAATGCATTGAGGATTGTCTGTTTGACTCCTGGCTTCCAAAGTTTCACCTTTGTATCTTAACTTTTTACCAATATAATTAATTATTTCTATTTTGAGGCGGGAGAGGTTGGCTTGTATAACTGAGCATTTTCGTTTCAGAACTGTGAGTAAACATGATTTCTAAGTTGCTACTTAAAAAAAGGAAAACCCGTACACTTACTACTGAAAAAAAAAAACCGACTGGAAAAAAACTCTTGACTCTCCCACCCCTTCTAAGTAAATATTAGCTAGTCATTTAATAACCTTTAAACTCTTATAACAGCCTGGCCAGTGAGGAGTTAAATAAATAAGGAGAGCAATGTGTCATTGACTAAATGACAATAGTTGTTCTTGTTCAAGTAAAAACTTTTAACGGTTTAAGTTGTAATGAGCTCCTGAATTTTTAAACAACCACCGCGGGAGTAGCGATCATGAAAATTATAACTGCGGGATATCATTAGAATAATACAGAGCCTTGGAGGAAAGGGGAGGGGGTATCAGGTAAATTTTATCGTGACACAACCAAAATCCTCAAGGCTACCCCTCTGGCGATATCAAAATAGTCAAAGGTCCCTAATGTTGCTGAGTTGAGCATTTAATTCAAAATTTGACAAAATATTATCTAGTGAGCAACGACGATGAGTTAGTCTCGGGCGCTCTGCTGAAGAAGATCTTGGGAGTGACAGGGTTAAAAATAATTTACCTCGGAAACATGAATAATGATGAAAAACGAAATATTTACATTTCCTCTACTAGAGCATCGCTTAAAGAAACATCGTCCTGGAATCACCTTAGGCAACTAACCTTACAACTTCGTTCCCAGGGCCTTTTCCGTTAGTTGGGGGTGGAGTTGGCGGTGGGGCGCCCAACCCCCAGCTAAGGGAAAAGGCCCTGGGAACGAGGTTGCTAACCTTGCCGTCAGAGGAAAAGGAGAAGATCCAAAATGTTGAATACTTCGAGAATTTTAAGAGCAAATAGAAAGATTTTTTTTCGTTTGAAACACACACCTTTTCAAGCCAACACTTGAACAGAAGGCAAGAATGTTTGTTTCACTTATAGGCCTGCCTCTGATCAACTTTGAATGAACAATGCGTGTGCCACATACCTTTCCCTTCGGGTGGTCACCTGCAGAGTACCAGATCAATATTATTAATCAAATTTCATGGTTTTCAAACCAAGACAGAAAAGGAAAACTCTTAACATTAAACTAGAGATTAACCAATGTACTATAAGATTTTACGTTTTTAAGTCATTCTTGACGAAAATTTCAATAGAAACCACACATTGCTAATATCGCTAGGAAAGTTTCAAAATCCATTGGCAGAATCTATAAAGCTAGTCTCTACCCACCTGCTTCAACTTTATGTACTTTGTTTCTTTACGGTATGGGGCTCCACTTATTCATCCAACTTGAAACGTATTGTCCTACTCCAAAAAAGGGTGGTACAAATTATATCAAGAAGTACTTTTAACGTTCAAAGTGAACCTATATTTAAGCAGTTAAAAATTCTTAATCGGTACAATATATATCGATTTCAAATAGGAAAGATTGTGTTTTTGTTCAAGATAGGCCGTCTTCCTGATGCTCTTAATTAAGAGATTATTTTCGTTGTCGAGTAGCAAATCATTGCTATTACACCAGACAACGTAATTCCTTTTACATGCCCCTTGCGGAACAAATATCAAATAATTTTCGTTATGTTTCCAAGGACCTAAAGTTTTCAATTCTCTGAATATAGAAATCCAAAATGTTGGTACTCTTTCCCTGTTTAAGTCTAAATTGCGAATATTACTCCTAGGCAGAATCAAATCTTACTCTTCCTTACTTTTTTCAAGATCCTTAAGTATAGGTCTGTTTGAGTGCCTGCTATTGTTGTCGTTTTATATGTGTGTGTGTGTATGTGTATTCTGTCCTTCTTCACCTAAAGTATTTTGAACTTAGAAAGCTGATACCTCACTTTTAAGGAGGCAATAGCTCACATAAGCCTCTTGGTTTCCCTACGGCTCACCACAGGCTAAATCTTCAGTTATATTATATTAGTGTATACACATCGAATGCAAATATGGCGTCCAATTTGAATTGCCATTATTCTGGACTCACTAACCTCGTCTTCACGTGGAAACACAAAACGATTATCTCACGTGTGAGAGGCTAGTGGGTCCAGAACAATGGCAATTCAAATTGGACGCCATATTTGCATTCGGTGTATGTAATTCCTTTTATTTCTGCTGATGTGTCATAA